CTTGCTGGACACTCTGGGACGTCCTGAAGACTTCTTCACTGCAGTCGAACCTCTCTCCTTGAAGTTCTTGATGATCCGGTAAATGGTTCTTTCAGATGCAATATTCTTTGTAGTAATTTCCTTGCATGTGATTGTGAGGCCATTTTGATGCAAAGCGATGATCGCTACACGTGTTTCTTTGGAGGTAACCATTGCTAACAAGAACGCAATGATTGGAAGTGCTTATTCCCTCCTTTTATAGCAATCAGTCTGCTCTTACAATCTAATTAGTATGATAGTGATTTCACCTGACTAGTACACATTCACACTTTCACATGCGCTGATGATATGATTAGTCAATTAATGTCAGCTGGTCACTTTGTGTCAGGATCAAAAAACAGTGAAATTTGCTTTTTTGTGAAAAGTTAATTTTTTGGGCCAATGAAGCTTTTAGCAGCTATTAAAAATGCATCTGATGACTCTACACAATAATCTAGAAACAACTGTGAATGAACACCACAACAGCTTAAGCAGCAAACTTTGCAAAACACAAAATTAATGCCACTGCCAAAACTTTTGGCCATGACTGTACAGCTGTTTACTTTGTGTACTGATTTAGTGTCAAGAGAGTTTTTTCCCTCCTCAATAAGGCTGACAAAGAGCACTGCAGTCTTGATATCAATTTAGGTCAAAGTGACAACTATGTCTGTCCTCTGACCAACTAACATACTTACTGTTTAAAGTGTTGCTGCCAGTTTTAGTTTCTCCTCGTCTTGTGTCCTCTTCTTCTTCCTCCTCCTCCTCCATAACCCCCTCATCATCATCTTCTTCTTCTCTTCTATCCCATTCTTCCTCAGAAGTCTCTCTGGATGTTTTCTTCTTTTTCTTGTGGTGGGTTAATCGTTGATATATACAAGCCCCTGTGGACTGGAACCTTGGGTCAAGTGAGAGCGGCAGATGTGCTGAAGACTTCTCTGTATCTTTGTGTGCGCTGCGCAGATCCATTGCGTAAATGCTCCTCTTCAAGACAGCAATATATGGATAGACACAGAATTGTTATTAATAACTAGACTACAACTATGAAAACATTTTTGTTCATTAAAATAAATCTTATAAAGCTGGACCACAAAACCAGTCATAAGGGTCAATTTCACGAAATTGAGATTTATACATCATCTGAAAGCTGAATAAATAAGCTTTCCATTGATGTATGGTTTGTTAGGATAGGACAATATTTGGTCGAGATACAACTATTTGAAAATCTGGAATCTGAGGGTGCAAAAAAAATCAAAATATTGAGAAAATCACCTTTAAAGTTGTCCAAATGAAGTTCTTAGCAATGCATATTACTAATCAAAAATTAAGTTGTGATATATTTATGGTAGGAAATTTACAAAATATCTTCATGGAACATGATCTTTACTTAATATCCTAATGATTTTTGGCATAAAAGAAAAACCAATAATTTTGACCCATACAATGTATTTTTGGCTATTGCTACAAATATACCCCAGCGACTTAAGACATATTATACACATATTAGATTAAACAAATATTAGATGGAAAACTTATTTCAGTTAGTTGTCAAGGCAGCATTTCTAATTTTCTTTTAGTTTAACTGGAAATAAAATAAAAACTACAATTGTAATAAATTATAAAATAAAAATAAACTACATCTAAATAATAATATATTAAAAACACAAAAAATAATAAAAATGGTAAAAGTACTTTTGACAAATGACAAAATTAAAATTGAAAGTAAACAAATAAAGGTTCATATTAATAAAACTATAATGGTATATACATAATACTAAAATAACACTGGACAGACATGATTGTAATGATAATTTAGCAGGGAAATAATCACAGTAATGAAGATGTTGCAGTGGTCATTACCTGCATGAAGAGTCTTTTCGGTTTTGGGCCTCTTTTACGCCACCTCACTGACCTTTCTCTCTCTTCTCTGTTTGCAATTAGAAATAATGAGTAAACGCAGTGTGGATGAATTAATAATATACTAGTGGCTGAAAGTGAAAGAATGAATAAGGCAATTTCATTTTTAGAACTGCTCACTTTTCCTCATACGTTAAAACCAGTCGAGGGTCTAGAATGTGCTCCTCTGGCTCCCATGTGCTGTACCTTTAAAGTCATTAAAACATTAAAAACGGCCACATATACATATTTATTGACATGACATGCAAATAAATAAACAAAATATCACAGCCGCTACAGTAATAACTGTAAAACTACCAGGAAATAAATATTAAGAAATGTAGAAATTAAGCTTATTCCGTAATAATAATAATAATAATACTTACTTGGGAGGCCACCCCTTCCACTTCAATAAATACTCGACATGACCCTTAAACATTAGAATAAAAAAAGAAAAAACATATATAAACCAATACTACATTTATATTTTCATTATATTAAAATAGCATCAGTAGGATTTTTTTTTTCGATTACACATTTCTTCTGAATGTTTTGTTTTTGTCTTGTACGTGTGCGATGACGTAATGATACGGTTTCGTAATAAAGAATTAAGGAGGGGCGATCCCAAAACGAACAGCTCCTCCTTTTTATTTTAACCCCGAGATTTCATGAGACCAAAAGTAACGGTCATTTATCAAGCGTTATTTTAAACTAACCGCATGTTTTAATTTGATTTCAAAGAAACTGAGAGCTACGTCTGCTCGCACTAATAACCTCAAATGCTGTTTAAAAAAAATAATAATAATAAACCTCAGGTGCTGTATCTAAATGGCCAAACTTTACATTAGTTATTAGATCCCTCCGGAAAATACAACTGCGTAGTCTCCATGACTACGAATAGGATCACCACCCTATTCCAAAAGCGTGCTGTGCGACATGCGTCATCATCGAAGTTATTAGACTACAAACACACTTCCACGTTGTTGTAAGGGGGACGTGTGTGTCCTCGCCCCTTTAACATGTTGTATGTGTGCAGCGGGCACAGACTGAACTGTCAGTAAACACACAGCAACACGCGCATGTCACTTACCTTTCTAACTCTTTTCTTTATGATCGACTCCACAGCGAACACTTGCTCACCAATTGCGGACAGTTCCATCAGTTAAGTTAAGCTAAAATAATAAAGTAGCTGTCAATGTATCTTTGTGCGTTTCCTTCTTGTCGTTAAAGTAACTATTAAAATGCAAATCCCATGCACTGTTAGAATGGCTGCACAAGTTCCCGCTCTTCCGCTGCCTTGTTTACAATTCAGTATTTAATGTTTTGCACTGCTCCATTTCCTTGTACTAGATGAGCACAGAGACTTTTTAAATCTGCGACACATCTGCAGCGCTCAGCGCGCCCCCGTGCGCCACACAGAGGATTGACTTGCAGCACTGTTGATCGGATTATCAACTAGCAGGTTACCACATTCGTTTTTTGTTTCTAGCAGGATTTATGTGGTTTATGTTTCTTACCTTTCAGATTTGATTTTTGCAATACAAAATATTAAATAAAGGAATATTAAATAAAGGAATAAATAAATTAGTTTGCTTACATGCAGCATTACAATTTCATCTATGGGCAATAGATCTCAAATCTCCCATTGACGAAGATGCACACTATTTCTGAAAGAAGTCTCTTATGATCGCAAAGGCTGCATTTATTTGATTAAAAATAGAATAAAACCTTATAGTGTGAAATATGATCACAGTCTCAAATAGCTTTTCTATTTCAATATTTTTTTTTAAAAATGTCACTTATTTCTGTGATGACAAAGCTGAATTTTCAGCAGCCATTACTTAATTCTTCACCGTCACATGATCCTTCAGAAATCCTTCTAATATGCTGATTTGGTGCTCAAAAAACATGATAATAAATCAATGTTGAAAACGGTTGTGCTGCTCAATATTTCTGTGGCAAATTTGATGAATGAAAAGTTATTATACCTTACAAAATTATTATAAAACAAAGGTAAGGGAGTGCAAGGGAGTCTGAAAAAAAAAAAAAATAGAGAAAAACTTTAAAAAGCTGTAAAAAAAAATAAAAATAAACAAAAAATGATTAATGTAAATAGTAACACCATAAAAGCAGCTAAATATTTCCCAAAAATATATATTTTTACACATTCATATTATTAATTTTTCACAGTATAAATTGAGTCTTTATACATACAAATATATATTTAAATTCAGGATGAGGGTCCCTCGCACAGATGATCGTATTTGGAGGTCCATGGCATCTAAAAGAATGAAAACCCCTGGTGTAGATGACATGAACAGAAGAGAAAAGCAGCACCACACTGTATACATAAAGACATTTTTAATGATGTCACAGCACATTTTACATCTTACATAAAGTGCCATCATAAGCATTTTATTTGAATGGAAATCAATGGCATGAGCACATGTTGTCCCTGTCCCCCTGAAAAAAGGGTTGTGGGGATTTAGATTGTCATGGCAAAGGAATCTATTCATCTCTACAGTATTACAAAGCACCCTGTGTATGGACATGTAGAATGGTCCTATTAAGCTGTAGTATCTGATTCGAGTGTCTATAGTCTGTTTGAAGTGTTTTACATAACATGTTGAAGATCGGTGTTTAATAAGTGAAATTTAATCAAGTTGGATCTGAAGATAACCTGAGATGCATTATTAGACTTCCCTTTGTGTAAATCTGCTCCCTCTGTAAACAGTTTAAGGCCATGTTAATCCAATATCAAAGATGAATAAACTTAGCAAGATTTCAGAGATCTCAATGTTTCTAACTTATTTCAGTATTTTCTATTTAAAAAGTACATACAACAGTTTCAATTAACAATAAGGTTTTTGGCAGTTGAAAAAAACTTTAAAAAAAAATTTTTTTTTACTGCCAACACTCACCTGTTTTATTTTCCTACATGTAGTCTAGGATTCATCAAGTCTAACCTTAACTGTTTAACAAGAAAGAGTGTCGAGAGCAACCATTTAAGGTAAGAGATTAACAAGGGACCATTTTGGTAACATATGTTATAGGAAACTAACACAAAACATCCAATTACTGTGGTGCCATGCTGTACTGTGATACACAGGAAACATCTCATCTCTCACTATGCCATTAAATATGTAGGAAACGGTTAAGCAGGGGCTACTGGTGTTCCTTCTCTAAATCTTCAAGTACGTGCACTAAATAAGTACATATGCACCCTGCGTTAAACAAAATCCAGTTGGTCAAACAAATACCTTTTTCGGTAACCTGTAATGTGTGTGGCGGACAGTTCAGACAATCACATGGATGCACGGGAAATCACATGAAAAGAGAGAAGTGGTGAGGATGACAGGTGATGCACAAGGAAAACACATCACTAAGAATTCCATAACCTCTTACTTTCAAGTCAGAAAACAGTACAAAGTAAAAGAAATAATCAATGTATAAAAAATGCATCAGAATCCCAAATACCAAACAAAATTATCTTCGTAGTGTTTAGTTGTCTTGTGGTATACCTGTGTGTCCTTTGCTGCTTCAGTCTCCATGGCAAGAGTCCAGCAGTGTGTGTGTGTGTGCAAACAAATTCTGAGCAGTGTGCTTTCATGACTAGTTGAGTGCAACTCCATTTGCTCTTTAAATGGGTCCCTGATTGAACCTCACATTTCCCTCCCGAGCATGAATTTGAGAAACCTCCAAAACAAAACAAACAAACTAAAAACAAAAAAAAAACGATCCAAAACATTAATCAGTTATCAGACCTCCACGTCTGGTGGACTTCCACCTCCTCTGGCACAACCAATAGGAGTTCACAGTTCTTCCCTCGAAGCTGGTGACGCAAGAACTTCCTGTGAAACGATCAGAACGATAGCTAGAGAAAAAAAAAAGAGCTTGGCATTGAAACCGACTGCTACTTTTCCCTTTAGCATTTCGCACTCACCTCAGTTCATCAGCTGTTCCGATAGCATGAGGACTGCGAAGTTTGGAGTCCAAGTTATAGTAGACTCCTCCCACTTCTCGAACTCCAATCCAGTGTTGTCGCTTGAGGGGCAGTCGCAACGGCCCCCAGCGCAGATTGGATGGCACATTCAAGATGAATCCAGTGACGTTCGGCAGTGCAATGCTGCCGACATCCCTACAGCATAACAAATACATAGGAAAAATGCAAAAAAAAAAAAAAAGAATGTGACATCAATTGCACACATCAATCTGTATTCATTTATTAAATAAAAAAACAACAATAAAAAGAAAAAAAAGAAAAATGCAATTCATACATAAAATGCATACATAAAAAAAACAGGAAATTATATTATAGAGAGAAACATGGCATACCTTTTCCGTGATAAGCAGATTTTTAAAGGGGTCATATGATGCGATTTCAATTTTTCCTTTCTCTTTGAAGTGTTACAAGCTCTTGGTGCATAAAGAAGTTCTGTAAAGTTGCAAAGACTAAAGTCTCAAATCCAAAGAGATATTCTTTATAAAAGTTAAGAGTCAGCCACACCTACCTAAAACAGCTCGTTCTAACACGCCCCCAC